TTGGATTATACGATTCATGGTCATGCATTGTTTAAATGTCAAATAGTCGTAAAGGCATAGAGCAAAAAAAAACAAAGAAACTATATTTATGCTTCAAATAGCAATTTTTTAGTCTAGTGTGCTTAATGTGAGAGGCACATTTATTTTTATTAATGATATTTGTAGTCAGTACGTATGTTTTATGATGATTGAAGTCCAATGACAAAAAAATGAACGGAAAAATAATGAATATGAGCATTGCGACCAATTCACAATTGCGATTGTAAAAGATTACTCATTCCGTTCCATTAGTCTTTGCTTGAAAAATGATTGAAAAAAACTTGCAGTTCGTCGATTTGACTTTCTGAGCGTTAACGTCACCATATTTCCGGTTGACTTATTGACATCGGTATACGTTTTAAAAGAACAGAGACATCTCGATGAAGTGAAGAAAAAAAAGATAGACTGTTTCTCGTCTTCATCATTGTTCATCATGCAGAAAAAAACCATTATCGAGAATTTCCTATATTCTTTCTCTATTCGACCGTATTTCAAAAAAAAACCTCGAATATTTCATTATCTTGTGCTCTTTTTCAATCAAATTGTTATTATGACATGTCTATGATGAAAATTGTAGAAAGAAATTTATAGTGAAAGATAGAAAAATAATGTCAAAAACTATTATAAATCGATTGTGATTTGTCTCTTTGAATAAATGTAATAAATTTCAAGAAAATTTTAGTTTTCGACTTTAATTAAAAACAATAGAATAACTTCAATACATAAAATCTGTTTTTTGTTATTATTTTTCTTTTATAAAGCGACTAACATTTGTCAGTATGAGAGTTATGTGATAATTTAATTCTAATGATTGAATAAATTATTCATCTACTTCGAATATGTTTAATATTACCGATATTTCTTTTAACATAATTAATAAATATTGAATGAACGTGCACTATCAAATTTATTATTCTGACATAAAAATAAAAAAGAAATGTCAAAAACAGTACCCGATGTAAAGACATAGGATGAAAGAAACGGAAATTTCATCATCTACAATCGAAAAAAAACATAATGAAATCAACTTCATTAGTCTTCGCTTTGAATTATTGATACATTCGATGGCAATAATTTGATTATCAGAATCATATCAACAAAAATAAAGTTTTTATGTTATATATATAGACTTGACAAGGACGCTCGATTATGACAATAAAATAATCATAGGAACAGAAAAAGCATATTTAGATGTTATATTTTCAGTTTATTTGGAATAGATAAACTTTTGTATATAAGTATAGATGAATATTCGTTAGACGTATATTTGTTTAGATAATAAATACGAAGAGTAAATTTAGGTGAGTAAAGATAACAAACACCCACGTATAATTGTATAACCTATAGAGTAGATTTTTATCACTTCATTAACAAAGATGCGTGATTTATCACAAAATATGTGTGCTAGAGTCCTGCTGAGCCAAACTGTTTAACTAGTTGTGCTAATTGTTAATAGGAATGTCATTGTGATATTCTTCTTTTTTTTTGTTTCGTGAAACTTATTCAAAAGAAAACTTAGATAAATTATTGAATAATGAGCATTTCGTTGATGTTGAATCATTACTATTACTGAAAAATTCATTTTTATTGTTTTTTACGTCAAAATTGCTCAACATTGATCACAAGAGATTATTTGAACAATAGAAACCAATTCATCTTCGAATTTTATATACAAAAAAAAAAAGAAGAAATTCCTTATGGAATATGTTTATAATACAAAGATAAAATTTAATACATATTCATTAATAGAAAAAATTCTTCCGATAGCTGTTCAATAAATTATTTGTCGAATAAATTAAATCTACTGAAGATGAAGAAAGTCTTTAAATGAATTATTTGCAACGTGTCGATATATAATAATACATATACATTTGTGCATGATTTAAAATGAATTTCTAAATGATTAATCAAAAAGTCTTAGTAACGGATATTTTTTTTTTCAGGTGAATTTTATTTGAAGTATAATGTAAAAACAAAAGGAATGTTTTTGATAAATAATTATATTCATTGAAAATCTTTGCACGTATATGTTGATGATCAAATTGAAATTCTAATGTTGGTCAGACAAAATTAGGATTCAACTAGAGATTAATTCATACAGTCATGTATTTTACTAAAAGTAGAGTGGAATGAATAAAAAATGAAAATTTTAGTGATAACGGTTATATTGATAAACAATATAAATATAGATGTATGCGTTGCAATCTAATTAAAGAAAAATGTCCCTAAAGCAATGCTCATTTTAGAGATCGAATCGAATCGGCCTAGTTCTCTTTAATTAGGAGTAGATGAAAGGTTAAAACTTCATATTCAGACGATTACGATGTAACATTAGAGTTGATATCGGTGTAGATTTATATTATTTAATTCACTTGCAGATTAAAATAAAGTTTTTAACATTGCTGTCCAAGGATTAGCAGATTCTTTTGGTGTTAGTGCATAATCTTATACAGTTACAGACGATTATCCATTGAAATACAGAAAAATGAAAAAATTTAAAAGAAAAAGAAAAATGAATTATTCTGCATAAAAGTGATCTATCGTCATAAACACACTTAGTCTGCCTCTCATAAAGAGAAAAAGCCTACGCTATATAGAAGATAGATTAATAATGTCAAACATTCTATTAAAGCTCATTGTATTTCTATTAACTGCACTACACTAGTGTCTTGTAACTAGGTTTGGTACTCGACAGGATATGAAATCTCGATGTTTCGAAATTTTCTTTTCGAACTGCTAATTTATACCAAAGCATAGAAATGAAAACTGGTTTGATCATGATTGTGCAATTTATGGTACTTGAGAACAGTTCACAGAAATGGAAAGTGATATTGTTCTACTAAAAGAGTTCCTTTTTAATGAAAATTCATCTACAGATAATGGCTGACTATATGAAGAACTAATAGAATAAATGGAGAAGAAAATGAACCATCAAAAAGGTAAACATGTATTTCAATAAGCTAACGTATATCTAGGAACTTAATCGGATTTCAGACGTAGATAGATACTAAGGTAATCTTGAGACATTTGATTCACTTGTCATTAAATAATCTCTTGTGGGTGTGGGTGTTTATACAAGAAACTATACAGCATACTTTTTCATTTAAAAGAAAAAATTTGAAAACTGTACTATGATTGTGAAAGTATCTGTCTAGTGTCAATTAGCTCCAGTCTAGATCTGGGCAGATACCCGAATACACCTATTCCAGTCCGACTATTAAAAACATGTGACTTGGGTGCAAAAATCGTACTTGTGTAGGTTACTAAATTATAGTTCTACAAAATCTTAAATAATAATTCTATCAATTATATCTCATTTAAGGTTTTCTGTATTCGATTATCTTTTTGAAGATTAATTTGGGTTCGTTTCGTTTTGAGTTTCCGGTTCATTTAAAAAAAAAATGGAAGTTTTGTTATTCTATAAAATGTCATTCAAAGCGAGTTGGTTCCACAACAATGGATTGATAGACTAAAGTGTATTGACTTGTAAAGTATTTTCGAAAGCAGAAAGGACATTCTTGAATAAAAAATAGTTATTCTATTCACATTTTATTTATTATTTCTATTGTATAAACTTATTTCTAGTCGAATTCTAATTTTACCTCCAACATATACTATCATATGATACAATGGAAATTTTGCCCATTGAATATATATTTTTAATATTTTTCTTCAATCGAACAAATTTTCGTTCTTGAAAATAACCAAATAGTCATTATTCGATATGACTCAATAATATTTCTTTAATACGATTAATTTTATATACTTCTATATGAGTTTCTTTCTGTGTTTAATATATGTGTACTTTTTGTTTGTTGTATTTATCATAATTTTTTTTCATTGTGTAATTCTTTTTACATTCGTATGTCATGGATCGAAATCAAAAGTTACCACTTTATATTTCATTTTTTTCTTTGTAATGAGTCAAACTAACGAGAAAAACATGATTCGTTATATGTATTGAAAAATAGAAGATTGTATTTTAATTGATCGTTGAGTCAATATCGTATATAAATCAGAAACGGATTCTTTGAAACTATCTAAGAACTATAAAAGAACTAGTATTCTATGTTTGTAAACTATTAGCATAAAATGATCCAAATATTAGGGCGAGCTTTACTTATACTTATTAGTAAATAGTTATTTTTTTTAATGGAAATCAGTTCTATAAAAATTGATTTTTATAGTTTTTTACAATATCAACGGTCAATCAACAATCGGTACTACATCCGATGGACAAGTCTCAAATTTGACTTTTTCATCAATGTTGCCCTATACATCTCAATCTCTAATGAATAATAATAGTACTACTAATATTATGACAGAAGTCATAATTACTGTTTCACCATCATCAACAAATATTAGTAATATTACTACAAAATTTCCAACAAAAACTAATATCGCTAGATCATCATTAATAACTATAATTTCAACACCATCTGAAATTGCTAGGAATATTATTAAAATAACATCTGTTACTATTTCTACTTTTTACATCTCAACAACAAGATTCTAGTGTAGCATCTAATCTTATAACAAAATGTGATCAAACTATAATATTATTATTCATTTTCTATTATTCATTTTTCCCATTTGTTAAATTTCTATACAAGTATATTTAAAAATACTTCATGCGGTAAAAGATTGACATATAGCAGAAAACAAAGAAAAAAAAAACATATATATATATATATAATATTAGAGAGCCAAACAAATATATATCTAAACAAACTCTACTTGCTACATTTAAATATGTCTCGATTATTGTATAAAAAGATAATTTAACAAAACAATAAAAACTCTAATTCTACATCATATATATATAAAACAAACAAACAAATAAATAAATAACAGACAAAACTTGTGTAATCTTCGATCAAATAACAATTAATAAGTGTTTCTAAAAATTAAAAAAAAAACTTTCATTGAATTCATGTATAAAAAATATATACATATAATACTTACAATACACGACATACTGGTGTACTACCTTCATAAACACATGTTGTACCTGATCGACAATCCAATGGACACCAACGATGATTTTTTGGCATTATCATTTGTTCACAAAGTATACCAGTTCGATCATTTTTACAAATACATTTATAACCGTCTTTTGTTGATATACATTGACCATTATGACTACATGGATTTGGATTACATGTACGAGGTCGATTAACTAAATTTTTCGAAAAAAAAAACACAAACAAACATATTTCATAAAAAAAAACAAAGATATATGAATAATTCATTTACTTGATTCACAACGTTCACCAAAATATGGTTTAGGACATGCACATTGAGGTTCAGTTTCATTAACATAACATTTTCCATGATTTAAACATGTTATGTTTGCACAAGCTACATTACTTAATGATCGTTTACGTTCTAATATATTCATAATGATTATAACATAAGAAGAAAAAAAAAACTAACAAAAATATATAACTCACGATATTCACAATAATAACCAGTAAAAGCTGCTTGACAAAAACATTGAGCTGTATTTTGAACAGCATTGCAGCCACCATTATTTTGACATGGATTTGGAACACCTTAACCAAGAAAGAAAATAAACTATTATAATAATGAATTATAACATTAAATTAAATACAAACATGGATTATGTGTTACAGCAGTTGCTGTTGGACATGGACAAATTATACAAGCACAAGTAAGTTGAGGAGCTTGAGCTGCTATAGTTATTTCACAATTACTACCCGTATAAGGATATATACATTGACATAGATAAGCATTTGTTGTAGCAATACATGTACCACCATTATAACTAACAATAAAATGATTAAGGTTTTTTTTTATATTTAAAATTTTAATATTACCATGGATTTGGCTGACAATAATTACGTAATTCACAACAACGACCATAATAACTTGGTGAACATGTACAAATAAATGCTTAAAAAAAAATAAAATGAACATATGTAAAAGTAAAGCTATAATATTTTTACAATCTACCTGTAGCACTTGTTGGTGAACAAGTACCTCCGTTAAGACATGGCTGAGAACTACAAGGATTCGGTGCTGCTGTAGTTACAAATAAAAGTTCACAACAACGTCCTGTATATTGTGGTGGACATTGACATTGAAAAGTATTTCCATATGGTAAACATCTACCGCCATATAAACATGGATTTGGATCACATGGACGTTGATCACAATTAACACCAATAAAACCAATAAGACATATACATCGATATGTAAAAGGTGCAACTACTTGACATGTGGCATCGTTTCGACATGGTTGATTATAACATGGATTGACAGCAGCTAAATTTATTTCACAACGTGTTCCACTAAACTGAGTTGGACATACACAAGCAAAAGCAGTTTGAGTAAGATAACAGCTACCACCATTTTGACTGTAAGAAAAATTCATATTGATGTTAACAATAATTCAATATATTATTTCTTACCAAGGATTTGGTAGACATTGATTTCCTAATGCAAGAGCTTGACATATAAAAAGAAAAAAAATATATATCGTAAGATAAATTTGTTTTAAATTAAGTATAATTATCATCGATAATAATGATGAAAACTAAATAATCTAAATTCAATGTTGATTACCTGTATTTGTTTGACAAAGACTTCCAGCCGGATTACAGTTTATAACTCCAGGATTTATAATTCCAGGATTTATACCAGATACTGATCAATAGAAAAGAAACAACGAACAATATAGAGAAATGCTTCCAAGTTATTTCTCATGATGAACTACCTGATTGTTCACACAAGAGGCCTGTAAAGTCTGGGGTACAGGTACACCTGAAACCGTTACCAGGTAGGAGGGTACAACTTGCTCCATTTTGACAATAAGTATAACTTGATGGACATGGTAAACCAGCAATGATACCAGTTGTTGTTGGTGGTGGGGTGGTGGGAGTGATGGGAGTGATGGGAGTGATGGGAGGGGTGGTGCCTAAATGTTTTAGAAAAATCTATGCATCATGTCGTGTTCTATATTTGGATATTGATATTACCTAGATCGATGTCACACAAAGGTCCAGTCCAGCCCACAGAACAAGTGCATTCAAAGGTAGTGCCGCCGGGAATAATTATATTTGCACACATTCCGTTGACACATGGGTCGCTAGTACAATCAGGTTGCCTGCTGTTGATAGCTGATTCTTTTTAAAAATATGCTATTCAAACAGATTTTTTTTTTGTGGTTTCAAATCTTACGTGCTACTTGACATCGAGCGCCGATATAACCAGGTTGACAACGGCAAGTAATTGATTGTCCAACAAGAACACATATTCCATCATTGTAACAGTATGATGAACAACCAAATCGTCTTGATGTAATAGAAATACCAACATATGATGAGAGAGATTTTTGCATAGGTGCTTCAAGTGCATCTAAATCAGCTTCAATTGTTGGATAATCATCATTGTCATCTAATGTATCATTTGAACTCATTGTTACTTCTATTAAATGAAATAAACTTTATTTAGGTTTTTTTTTTTATTTTATTATCAAATTGAAATAATTAAAGTAAAACTTGCCAACTCGATTCACTGAATCATTACAATCAGTTACTAATTCTTTAGCAACGCATGTTTGTAATTCAGGTACATACGCTGTACCAGATGCACATGTGAATACAACTCTTAAATTATGAAAACAACGAATAAATCGTTGACAATTTGAACGATCGCCAGCAAAATCACGACATTGTTGTCCTTTTATTTATGAATGAATATATTTTATTGAACTACAAGAAAAAAAAATTCAAACTTACGTTTTGATAATCCATTCGTATTTGTAATTCTTATTATAAGACAAACAAGAACAATTAAAAGTCGAGTAGATTCGACTTTCATTTTATATTTTATAATGTATATATATGTATGTATATATATATATATATAAATAATGTGCTTATTTTTTAAAGTGATCCAACACCGGGGATAGCGAATTAATTATATTGTGATACTTATCAATTGTTAAAACGACTAAGAATGAGACGATAACATTTTTTTGTGAGGATTGTGTTCACTATTTAAATTCATTCCCCGCAAGAGAATGTAGGTAGATCGACATTTCAATGGACGCTCTTTTGTCTCTCTTTTTTTTGTGCACGACAAATGTCGCCTTGTTTTAAACACCCTTCAACATTAAACCATCATCACTATTCTTCTTTCCTCATTGTACATGTGCATATACTTGTTTTATAAATAATTATACAATGTACAATGTTAAATTGAAGATGTGTTCTTATCAATGCTAAATACATGAATCACAAGGTGACATATAAATTTGATATTAAAAATAAGAAATGTTTTTTTTTTCAACTGTTTTCTTCACCTTGAATGTCTTTATATAAGAGACAGATTTATTCTTCATAATCTCTTTGCACATTGCTCAAATTTAAATATATATCCTTCTTATATCTATCATCTAGTTCATGGTCAATGTACCTTCCGTCTTTTCCTGTATTTCTTTTTTTATTTCTTGCAAATACCAACAAATTTTGTTTGCATATAAGAAAAGGTCATAACAACGTATATTCGAAAAAAGAAAAGGAAATTGAAGCATAATTAAAAATTATTATTAACTCCAAATATCGAGAAGATAACGTCGAGATGTCTCCAATGATTTCATGTATTCATCAATATTTGTTATGTCTAAACAAAAAAAAAACTAAATTAACATTTTTTTTAGTGCGAAAAGGATTAATACAAACCAGAATGTACTTTTAGTATATGAGCTATTGTTTCTCGAACATCACGAGCCATTGTTTTAATATCACCACATACGTATATAATTGCATTTCGATTGTATATTAAATTTGCTAATTCATGTCCATTTGCTCTAAGATGATCTTGAACGTAACGAAACTATCAAGAAGTTAAATCATTAAGAATTATAGAAGAAAAATTTAATATAATGAAAATTTATAATCTACTAAAGATTTTTTGATATGTCAGTTACATTGAGGATTGTCTAATAATTAAATCATAATCTAAGATATTCTCTGGGAAGATTGACTTTCTACCATATCCAAGTACGAGTTAAACCCAGAGGGCTTTTCAAAAGATTAAAGTTACGTGAAAAACGAAGAATTAAATTCTTCAGATAGTAAGATACATGTATAAGTTAAATTTTACTTGACAATTCTCGTTATATCAAGAGATATTTTACATAGATCTAAAAGCTCGACAAAGACTAGATCTTTCATGTAAAACAATACAAAAGTCTACCTTTCATTAATTATATTAACAAATATATCACCTCAATTTCTCATTGTTTTGCTTATTACTGACTCGAGTTGATGATTATTAATCGAAGAACGGTAAAACAAATTCAACTGAAAAATTTATAAGAAAACTCTATTATTTTTCTTGTATTTTCAATTATCTTAATGAATTTTTTTTATACTTACAGGATAACCTTCTTCTCTTGATGCTGCAACAAAGAAATGTTTAAGTACATTAATTTGTTGATACATTTGAATTTGCTCTCTAAAAACAAACCATATGATAGATAGACAGAAGATGAAAAAAACAACAAAGAAAAGACAATACTCGAAAAGAAAATCCCGTTGTCGATGACGACATCCATAGAAAAGCCAAGTATTTATATTATTCACATCAAAACCATCAATTGATTTCGAAGAAAGATATCTAAAAATCAAGAATTCATATTCATTCAAATAAAACCTTTTGAATATAAAAAAGAATAAAGCAAAAAACAAAAACATACAAATGTTCAAGAAATCCAATAAATGGTGCTACACCTGTTCCTGGTCCAATCATAATTAATGGAGTATCAAGAGTTAATGGTAATCGAAAATGTTGACTAATTCTTGTTTGTATTAAAACCTATATTCAAACACAAAACATCTTATTATAAAAAAACAACTAAAAATAAATAATTAACCTGCGTTCCAATTGTTATTTTATTTAACCAATTCGTACAAATACCAAATCGCTCATATGTACGACCATTTGAAGCTTCAAATTTCAATACACTATAAACGAATTTGATAGATCGAGCATCATCTAATGGTGAACTGAATTGAATAAATCATTAATAAAAGCTATCAGAAAAACAAAATAAAAAAATTCAAACCTGCATATTGAATAAAATCGAGGTATTAATTGTGGTAAAAATTCTAAAAAAAAATAATTATATAAAATAATTCATTAAATTATTATTCAAACCAATTAACATAGCAACATCTGGTTTACAACTTGGAAAATGATTAAGAATATCAAGAATTGATAAATGTTCTTCAACAATATATTTTATATAAATGTCTGAACCTTCTTTACTACATAATTCTTCAAGACGACGTTTTTCATCTTCATCAGTTGTACAATCAACAAATAATCTTAATAAATTCTATTGAACAAAATTAATGTAATCATTTAGTTTGTAGAGATAATTTTTTTTTCTTACTTTTCTTGCTGATGATCGAATATCAATACAATTTGTTAATACATAACGTAATGAACACATTGGTGGTATATATGCTGGTATTTTAGCTGATTTTTTTGTATTATCTGATGAAATCGAAATATCTAATTGATGTGATGCTTTATCCATCCATTCTAAACTAAAAAATAAATTTTTTAATTTATATGAAAAAATAAAAGTAAAATACAGAATTACCGTTGTAAAAGGAGATTAACTTCATTCTCATCATTGGCACAAAAAATTTTAATTGCATCTCCTGCTTCAAATACAAAGTCTTCTTCCTAAAAAAAGAAAATAAAAATTTCTATAAAATAATTATTTAAACTTGAAATATACCGAAAGTTGTAATTCAACAGACATAACAGGTTTTATTGCTGTATCATGTGTTAAACCTTCTCGACGTATTAATGTTGAAACATGATAATGTGAATTAGATGATAATTGATCTTTATTCTTTAAACAGAATAAATCAAGATTTATGTACAATAACGCCCAAAATTATACACTCGGGTTTATTGTCAGTATTTTTTCTACTGTGATAACTGCTGATAAGAATTCAAATATTAATTGGTGTAGAGAATTTTAATTTCGAAGATGAAAATGATGGCTAATTTACCCAGAATAGACTCTCTGAAAAAATCAAAAACTAAGTTTTTCAGTTCTTAAAATTTGCAAGACATTCTTTGACTGAGATACATTAATCTTACCGAAGGCATAAAGTCGGTTTTTCTGTTATTTCGTATGGAAACATCCTTTTTGAACCTACCGTCAGATGGATGTATCTTAGTCTAAAAATGGCATAAAGACCTGTAAGGTATTTCATTTGCAGAGAACTATTTGTTTTATCATTCTATGTAATTCAAACAGAGTTTTGCGTGCAAATTTTAAGAGCTGAAAATTTGATTTTTGATTGTTCGGAGATTATTGTTGAAAAGCTAGCATAATTTTCACTGTCGAAAATAAAATTCTCTACGTAAATAATTATTTTAATTTTTATTAGCAGTTAGAGCAGTGGAAAAAAATTGAACCTTAATCTAAGTGATCAATTTTTATACTCATTCTAGATATTTATTATGAAAACTAAGAATTACTTCAGATGATTCGATAAGTTTTATTGATAATGAATGTGTAGATTTAGGTGGTAATGTTAATGTAGTCATTTCAGCTAAATTTGATGAATAAGTAATACTATCATCGTTTGATTTAAATTTATTAGATGATGATAATTGTCGATTTACTATTGGTTTTATTTCTTGAGTTAAATTCAGTTGATTTATGGATTCGGATAGATTATTTATTGATGTTTCAGTAGAAGTATTCAATTTCATTAGAGTTTCTTTTAAAGCAGGCCAAAAACCTTGAAGCCAAGGTTCAACTGTTAAATCCAGACTAGAATTATTCAAATAGAAAAATGAAAAAAATAAAATAAAACTAACTATACCCAACAGCATCATCAGCCCATGCTGAAGGATAGAATCTAGTAGCACCAAGTTCTTCAAAACGACGATCAAGTACACGACCACAATTACAAAACGTAGAATAATTTGTATCACCTAATCCTGAATAGAAATTTTCTTTAAAAAACAAAGGGAGTTCAATCTTCAATTCCTAATACCTAAGACAGTATATTTCATATGTGAAAGAAATTTTGGGTTTTTTTCACGACGAATTTTACGCCAAAATTTACTTGCATTACTTGGTGGTTCACCATCACCTGTTGATGATGTTACAATAACCATGACTGGTTCTTCTTCTAATTTGAACTGCGATATAATACAAAAAAAAATGAAAATGTATAAAATTTCCATATGTTAGAGTAAATCTTGTAGAAAATTGAAGACGTCAAATATTATTTTTTCATAAAAAACAACTTCAACTATTGATATATTCCTATAGGCTTTCTTCATAAATCTACTCTCTCACTTGTTTATCAACTTCATCCAATTCAAACACGTCTGCACATATTTGATGTTGCTCTGAAGCAATATCAACCATGCCTTGAGCAATTGATCTTGATTGACCTGTTTCACTTCCGAATCCGAGTAAAAATCTCCACCTTTTCATCTTTAAAAACAAAAATACATACAGACATACACATAAGTATATAGATATATTAAATAAAGGTATATATAAACAATTAATGAGATGTAAATGTGTTACAAAACAAACATTGACTAGAGAATTAAAGCAAACAAATAAATATAAAAACAAAAAAAAAACAGGCGTTAATCTTTCTTTTTTTCAGTCATTGTTTTTTGATTGTCATCTGTCATCATTGGCCATGTTGGTATATCACGTGCATCAATTGGTTTAACAAAGTTTTCAATAAATTTTGGTTCAATATGAACAATACGTTCTTCATATTCTTCATCATCATCTTCACCAATACTATGTTGTCCATCATCATCTTGTTCAACAAGTTGTCCATTTTTTCTTTTCTTCTTAGAATTTTTTGTTTTAGCTGATGAATTGTCATTTGATGAACAACATAAACAATAACATATGATGGATATAATAGATGCAGGAATACCAATAATAAGTAATGATACAAATGGTGCTTCAATAAACATCAAGATTACTGTACGATATAATTCCCAAAAAGGACGAAATATACGTTTAGACCATGCATCACCTGAATATTGAATAATATCTGTATGATTTTTAATAATATAATCAAGAATTGGTTCTAATTGAATATTACTATCAATCATTGATGATAATGGATAAATACCATATTTATGTAAAATACTATCATAAAGAAAAATTAAAGGTTCATCAAGTGTCCATACAGCTAGAAAATAAACGATAAAAGCAATTATACAAAAAAAAACTTTACACTTACCAATATTACTGAGTAAATCAAGATCATTTGACCATGAAAATTGGAATGTATCACGAAGTGTTGATAAATGTTTCATCATATAATTGCGCATTTGAGTTTTTAGTTCGTTTCTAAATAAATGAAAACACTTGTAATTTTCATTGGTTTTTTGGAATATAATAAGTCTGATATGAAATACTGAGAGAAGAACTTTAGTTTTAATCATGAACATGTTTTTTAAATAAAGCCAGAGAAGAAATCGTGCTACTTCAATTGAAATACACAAGAAAATTGAAGCAATCTATCAACTTACACAAGGCAATTAGATAAATATTCTATACATAAATAGAACGACCGAAAAAAAAAGGTTCATATGGAAAGTCAAAAACTAGAGATAGTGAATGCATTTAAATATTTGCAGTGCACATAGATTAGCAAGGTATTACTGATATTCACAATTGACAAATGCTTCGAAAATGTCTTGATCAAACTGAAGTGCATGAAAAAAGACAAAAGAATTTCTGTCCCTATCTTAAGAGAATGCTTGAATAGTAAACCGATGCTCGATTGTATCGATGCATGACCTATTTACAGTTACACAAGAGAATCTATTGAAAGTTTACGTACAACGGCACATTAAGAAAAATCTAGGAAAATATCTACAAATCGGACTTAAGACATTTATCCTTTCTCGAGAATATACTTCATTGAAAGATGATTTTGGAAAAATTCGCTAGGATATTTCTTTAGACAGAACAGAGTATAAATGTTAAAACAGAGATACGCTATGCTCTTGATAAAATGGATTAGTTTCGTGCAATAGCATATCCCTTATCATTTGTGCTCCTCTCATACTTCATCTATATTCTGACAATGATAAAGTAAACACTAAGAGTCCCACTTATGACAATTAATATCATATGCACCTTTTCTCATGTAACCATGTTAGAGTGTTACATAAATAAAACAGAGACAAGTCTAAAACGATTGATCTACTTTGAAATATTATTGAGATCCGTCAATGACAGATTCTTATCCAAGATAAAAGAAGAAACTGATCGAACTCATGCACAGTTATCTTCTTAAAATAGTTTAAATAAAACTTAAGGTTGACATCATATTGATGATGTTCTATAACGAATTACTTTTCATTAGTGTTTATAAAACTCTGTCCCGATTCAATTTTTTTACCTTCTAGACTACAATACTTTTTTCATCTCAATATAAAGCAATTTCTAATTAGAGAAATGAAGTTTTTCTTGCTGAAATTCTACCAAATATTTTAATGAAGACATTCGTGCCATCAATACAAATTCTTTGGTATTTACCAGAGGCGGCACTAAAAGATCAGAGGATGGGACGGATAGTTGAATGCAATAGTGTTTCGAATCGATTGAAATTGAATAGACGTCATGTAAATATTTTCTTGCAGTTTGAAATACACAAAACTGCTGCAATTTAGAAAAAATAGAACTATGACAGTGAGCCTAGAATGAAGGAATTCATCAGGAAAGCTTTCCAAAACGAGAGAACGCTACCGTCAATATTTTTAAAAACAAGAAAGAAGTATCCCGTTCCCACAATGTATAACTAGTTGGACATTTAGTTAAAAATGGCAATAGAGAGGCTTTTCAAGATTAAAATATAGGGAAATATACTCGAACTAACGGTATCAATATCTGACAAAATTAAATTGCTCAACACGCAAATCGAGTGCATTTTCTCAGTTTTCAAGCCGAGCTATATACAATGGTAAAAAATCCTTTTTTTTCCAGTGTCGTTCGAAGAGCTAGCTCCGTAAAATGAGCAATGAAGTCGCATGTCCGTCTGTCATACGTAAAATGCAGACGATGCACCCTTCAGTAGCAGCGCCTCTAATAGTTTCAATACAGTCTCCATTATGTCCTTCTGTAAAGCAATTTGTTTCTAGTACATATGAATAAATCTCGATAGCATTATGTTTGTATATAGGAATTAAATAAATAATAGAGTTAAACCTTTTTTGTTTTTGAGCAAATACTTCATGTTGATCTTTAAATCCATAAATAATAACAATTTTTTTTGTTACAATTAAATCATGTATATTTCCTGATGAAACTTGTGGAAATGTAGCAACTTTTTCTTTAATTATAAATTGTTCTAAATTATTATTATAATCATCGGGTTTATATAAATAAAATCCTTCAGTTTTTATAGCAAATATTTGTGATTTAGAATCTGTTTTATATTTTGAAAAATATGTTTGTTGTACAATTGAAGCATTTGTTGCATAAAAATATGTTTGACTTAATAATTGATTAACAATATTTTTATATTGAATAAATAAATTATCATCATCATCATGATTTGTTGTAACATACATAAAGAAAACATCATGTTCACGACGTATTTCATTAAATTTTCCTATAGATGGTATCCAACGTAAAGCAGGTCCATTAACACGTCGTAAAAAATCTAAAACAGCTGGTTTTGATCGTTCATTTTCATAAGAAAATACTTGTGAACCACGAATAAATTTTATTGTTGGATAACCACGTACATCATAACGATTAGCAACATCTGTATAAACAGTAGCATCAATACGTACAATACGAACATTTTTAAATTCATCAACACTAGTTGATAAATCATAGACTTCTTTTGCTATTTCTTCATAAACAGGTTCAAATTTTCGACAATGTCCACACCTAAGATAAAATATTATTCTTAAATAGAGATTAAATATTCGATATTTTGAATCTTTACGACAGTAGATATTTAACTGTATATTCTCACAGTTTTCTAAAAGCAACTTCAATGTTCAATTTAACATCAAGCGAAAGAACTTTGGATTCGGATTTAGTGTTTTGACTTTTTCCAGTCTTACGTGGAAACCTTCTCAGTTGCCGCTTCCGCGTTCAATGATATTTTGCCTAGAGATACTATAGAGTGTTCTAATACAAACTCTAAAAGGATTTCGGTTTCTATTAAGATTTAACTAACGTATTGCATTTTGATCGGAAAACTTGTGTATATAAAGAACTTAACAAAACTAATTTGCATAAAAAAAATCTACAAGTTTTGAACAAAGTCTTTTCGATCTATGAAGCTGTCAAAAAATCCTTGCTATTACTCTTTTTATCGACAAGGGTCTATATTTCGAATAGACTTTGTTCAAAACTTGTGAATTTTTTTATGGAAGCTAGTCTGGTTGAGTTCATTATATGCATAAAATTTCAGATCAAAGTTCGAAAATTGCTTAGTTTAATTTCAATAGGAACCCAACACCTTTTAAGATGTGTATTAGAACATTATACAGTGTATCTGTAGCCAGCATATCATTCAAATCGAGAAGAAACAGCAAAGGAGCAGAATTACTATACCTTTCAATTTGTCCAGGAGAATCCTAGTTGTTGGGTATTTCTAGTGATAAAATGTTTTGCTACTAGGAGCTGTTTTCCAAAGTTTTCTACTCGTTTTTTGTTTTTCTCTTAATCTCTATTCTTAGCCACATATCTAGCCAGCAAGAAAGACTATGTAACATCGTAATGTGATGGTAAATTTCACAAAGAAAGATGCGTTAACCAAATGCGTCCCACTCTAGGCTTATCTTGTTAATGGTGAAAATGTATATGATTTACAAAAATTAGTTCGATTTGCTTTTATTTTACCAGGCTCAAATATCTTTTTTTTTAATCTAGTTGTCGTCACGTGAAATTTTTGTGGAATAATAGCCGAAACAAAATGAAACCTTATGTCACTTGTACAGAATCGTTTCCATATTTCTTACATAAACCAGATTTGTTGAAACATATTCGATCATTAGAAAAATGCCACGTATGGCGCTGTAAATAGCTTATTTTTTCTATTTGTTTATTTTGTTCGTATTTTTTTCATGAGAGCATATGAGAAGGTTAATAATATAAAATACATACAATCATATTTCTTTTTTTTAATGTCGTTTTTCAGATAGAATTTGTTACATATTCTCACTTCTTTCGTTCAAGAAGTAACATATTTTGGAGACTTCATTGTTCTATGCTATTATCAATGTTTCTATCCATTGTTTTATTTCTTGTATTCACCTTTTGCATTCGTGTTCTTCTCGTTAATGCATTTTGCATTTCCTTGACATACATAGACATGTTCTACCAAGCTATGAAGTGATACTTCACTTTCCTTCCTTCCTCCCTCTAGAATCTTTTGGTACCTCTCGGCGATTTATTCTTCTACGCCACTTTTGAGACTATTCTTTTTTCACGTGCTGTTCTAGTTCATACTGAATGAAAAGATTAATTAGTTTATTCTCTAATTAGATAATGAATTCTTTTATTCGTGCAATGACAAATACAAATATATACGAAATAAAATGTTAGTCTCATTGTATGTAATCATGCACATAGAGGTAAATATTTCCTTCTAAATTTTTCTTCATCTTTTTTGATAATAGCTGTGCTGGTATCATCTACTATATGGTTACTACTTTACGATTACTATTTACTTAGCAGGAACTAATAAGATGATATATTTTATTATGCTTTAATTTTGTCATTTTATTATGGATTATAAAACTTACAGGTAATCACTTGCAACTAACTAATAAAGTCGCCAACAGATGACAAAGCTGTGTGAAAGGATTACTTGAATACAAACAGTCAGATACTGGTTATACAGTAAGAAATGTAATAAAAAATAAAAGTAATAACTATGATTACTTGCTATTAAATTATGAATAATAATAATATTTAGTTATTATTCATTCCAAGCAATTCTCATGTAGGTGCTCTAATCTGTTTCCTTGCGTGAAACTATATCTCTCCATTGATCGGTATCATAATTTTACAAATATTGACTTATGGAATATCTCACTCATGAAGCAAAGAATAATATGACACGATCATTTCAATACAAAATCTCAATACACAGAAAAAAAAAATTTTTCATTTTGTAAAAAAAAACAAAGACTAAAACAAACCATGGTGCATGAAATTGAATTAAATATGCAATGGACGGATTTTGTTTAATTTCGTCGACAATTTTCGAATCAACATCACGTGCCCATTTAGCATGAATACAAATAAAACATTGTACAAGAAATATCACAAACCAAAATAATTTCATTATGTATTCTCAACTATAATAAAATCTATAGACAGAAAAAAAAAAAAAAGAAAAAATTTCTATTTTTGGTTAAATAGCAAGAGAAAAAAAAATGATTTTTATTGAACAATTACACAAAAACATCATGTTTGATAAATATTTATTTTTTAAGTTTCGAATCTACAATACTTTTAAATTGTGTCATTAGAGCTTTTTCTTTATTTGAACGTGCTTCATGATTAAATGTAGCTAATGCACGTTTTTCATCAGCACTATAAATTTGATTTTCTTTTCTTAAACGTACAGCTTCCATACGTCGATGTCGACTACCAGACATAACATAACCAAGTTCTTCAAATTGTTGTATTTCTTCAGATTGTAAACCAATTTCACCACGACGTGGAATACGTTTTCCTTCAGCAACAAATCTTGCCATAGCTTCACCTTCACCAGGTAAAAGTGCTTTACCAAAATCTAATGGTTTATCTGTTCCTAATGGATTTGTTGATGAATTTGATTGTTGTTGTGATAAATTTTCAGGTAATTTTGGACCAATAAAATCTTGTTCATCATTTTGTTGTTTTTGTAAATTATTAATTTGTGTTGTTGATGTCGATGATAATGATGGTGATGATTTTTTTGCTTTTGTTTCAATCCATTGTGGTTTTGATTCATCTTCAGATAACGATGATGATGATGATGATGATGTTGAATGTTTTCTTCGTTTCTTTTTTGATTTTTTCTTTTTATCTTTTTTTTTATGTGATTTTTTCTTTTTTTCAATTTTTTCATCAAATTCTTCATCAATTCGAGCTGGTGAAACTGACCATAAACCACGTGTACCAAATTCAGCTATACGTATACGTTCTTCACGACGTGCTTCAAATTGACGTCGATCAACATTTGATGTTGAATATGTACGTGATGATGGTATTGATGGTGGTGGAAAAGGAATATTATCAATATCTTGTTTTTCTCGTTTTATCCCATTTGATGGACCTTCTGGTAATTGTGAAAAAAATCGACTATGTTTTTGAAGTATTTGATCAGTATTATCGCTTGATAGACGACGATGTTTAGGTGATGGTGAACGAGAAGAAGAAGATGATGATGATGATGAATGAGAATGTTTACGATGATGACGACTAGGTCGATCACGTGCCATCTAAAAATAAACTAAATAAATTTACAAAAACATCATATATTCAATCATATAAAACACGAATTTCGATTGCAAAAACAAAAACAAAAGACGAATTTTCAAAGTACTAATGCAGTTTTAGTACTTCCTTATCATCATTATAATTCATGTGCGTAATAGACTCATTGAATGTTTTCATATATTAAACTACGCTAATATTTCAGAAGAAATTAATATGATTAAATATAGAACAATTAAAATAAAATTTTATTCATAATAATACGTACGTAAACTAAATTAATTTGTGATAATTATTGAATTGTAAATGAGCTTTTAAAAATAAAACTTGTCCTTGACTTAAATAGAATAAATCGGGAAATGACTGCTGTGTAGAAATAAAAAAAGAAAATTTCTTCATCTTTTTCTTATTGGTTAACATATAAGAATGCTAATTCAATAGATGACGCTGAATTCATAGAAAAGTTAAATTTTTACATCACATGATCATTCTTAAGAAAACAAAATGTTCTACGGTAAATGAATTATCTATATCATATTTAAAATATCGTGAATTAGATGAATCATAAGTATAATCTTTGAGTCATTTATTATTCATATAAAATATTCGCTTATGTATCAAAAAGTGCAGAATTCCAAGGTTTACAAAATGGTGTCATTCAATTTTACAAAGAACTTTTTAAAATTTCAAAACAACCAATACACTGAAGTACATTATATATACCCTCGGAAAAAAGAAACTGCACTCAGTATTTTAAGGAAATCTTTTCTACAATAAGATATTTTTAAAAGAATAATGATATACTCTGGAAGCTCGTGGAATTTTCTATCATCTTGTATATTTATGTCTTAGTTTGTATCACCGAAATAAATTAAGTACAATGAAGACGCCCTAATGCCCAAATTCCCACCAACATAATTTTGTCACTGTTATGAAAATAAGTTTTTAAATTTTTTATCATTATAGAGTGACCTTTTTGAAAAAGCAATCATATATTCTGAAACTGCTTCAAATTCTCTATCTTCCTATATATTGGTGTAATGTCTTATATCTATCTATTATGAAAATAATTTGAGTACAATGAACACAACCTCAATCGGCAAGTACAAAAAAGTCCATATGTTTTTACTATTTTTTTTTATTTTCTCCGTCCAATTTAGGAGTGATCAACGAGGGTGTTTTTAAATATTACGCGAATTATTATCCGGTATATAAATATAAGATAAGATGAAAATATATAGAGTGGTAGAGAATTTGAAGGTCTATCAGGATGCATAATTACTTTTGTGAAAAATGATTTCCTTTATATCTATAGTTTGAAAAAACATACAGCACACCGAATTTTTGTACTTGTCGATTGAGGTTGTGTTCATTGTACTCAAATTATTTTCATAATAGATAGATATAAGACATTACACCAATATATAGGAAGATAGAGAATTTGAAGCACTTTCAGAATATATGATTGCTTTTTCAAAAAGGTAACTCTATAGTGATGAAAACTTTAAAAACTTATTTTCATGATAGTGACAAAATCATGTCGGTGGGAATTTGGGCATTAGGGCGTCTTCATTGTATTCAATTTATTTCGGTGATACATAAGTGTAAACTAAGACATAAATATACAAGATGATAGAAAATTCCACGGGCTTTCAGAGTACATCATTATTCTTTTAAAAATATCTTATTGTAGAAAAGATTTCTTTAAAATACTGAGTGCAGTTTCTTTTTTCCGAGGGTATATATATATATTGGCAAACATATCAGAGATGTGCATTGCGTGTGTGGAGACGGTCGTTTCCTAAGGGCAATTATGACTCGTTTTTAGATGAGCACATCGCTCGAAAAAAACTAGAGTGCGATCATTGGGTGGCTGCGCCTCAATCATATCAGCTGTTAAACTCTATTGCTAGGAATATTTGAAAAAAAATAACATCAAATGCTGAAAAGTTAAGAGAACGGATTGAACTGTGGACAAATACATTCTTATTGAGATACTGTTTGTTTTATTACCCAATTTCATAATCATTTGTTAAGTTTATAAATGAAATCTGGATCAATATTGATTAAGAATTATGCAAATAATAAATCGATCTAACTGAAAATAGCGAATTCTCATTGTGACAAACATAATATTTAAATTTACTTTAAATTTAAATTTTCGCAAATTTGACTAGAAAATAAGTTACAATATGAACGAATACCCTATAATCATACATAACTCCGGTTATATCTTGATTAATTCAATTTATTTGGGTTATTTTCAACTTTAGATTGTTTTTCGTATGTAAGTGTTCAAAAAACGAAACACTATTTCACAAGAAATATCATAGACTAACAAATATGAGAAAAAAGATGGCATAAAAGAATAATTTTTTCAACTATCATTAGGCGCAGTGTACATTTCTGAAACACATCAATATAGAGCTTTTTGACGATATAATTCTAATTAAAAGAATATATAGAGGACAATTAAATTCAGTATTGATAAAACAGTTGAATAATGTTGCAAGATATTTTAATATGCAAGATCTTATTCATCAACTGCGATACTTAATTTACACTAAATCCTGATCTAACTGTAGTTATGAAAAAAGGTCATACGGAACTCACGTACAGGTCTTCAGACAAAACAGTGTATGTTGTTTGAAAATCATTTTATCTGTTATTGTTTTCTGTAGACACTCGCTTTGTATTCTTATCAAATATTTAAAGTAAGCGATTATTGTCTCAAGTTCAATTGTATATTATTATTATTATTATTGATGTAATTGTAATTTTAATCCAGTTACACGATCATCATCATCTTTAATAATATCAGTAATATGTGAATTATTAACAACGAAATAATATTGAGCTGATGTTGATTGTAGTGATGATAATGAGGAAAATGATTTCAAGAGTATTTCATCGATATTTAATTATTGACAATAAAATGAAAATGTATGTTTATTTCTGCATTTGTTGAAGATAATGATGAATTTTTATTGAAAGCAAAATATTTCTTTTTCAAGCATTTATAACAATTTAATAGTTCATAGGTATTTATAACAAGATTTATATATTACTTTACATGATATCTTATAAGTCAATTCTCTCTCAACGTGTGCCATGAGCACGTCAGTTTTTTTGTTTCGCAGTTAGCCAGTGAGACTTATCATCTGATACTAAAACAATTGAGTTTATCGAAATACAGTACAAACCCTTACATCGTTAAAAGTAGAAAAATATATCTTTATTATTTTGCTTACATTTTTTTCTTATCTATATAAAATTATTCGTCAGACAATCAAAATGAAACTGTGTCTATCTTTTAAATTCTTGTAAAAATATTTACTTTTTCTTACATTAACATCACAAGATTTATTGTTATTTGTATATTCAATAGTTGAAATGATAGTTAAGTAAGCAAAGCAAAACAACATTTTTAAAGCCTAAGTGTGTGAGTGTTCTTGTCAACTACTTCCACACGTTAAATAATCAAACTATAGAATATTGTTCGTTTATATATCAACAATAGCAGGATTTCTATTTATTTTTCTTTCTTATACATGTGTTTTTACAATCAAATAAACATGAATAAGAAAATCTACATATATACGTAATTGAACACAAAAAAATAATAACAACAAAATCTACATTTATATGTTATCAACAACAAAAAAACGAAAGAATAACATGATGCATATATGATTAATGGACGAAAACTAACAATAATTTAACCTATTGGATTTGTCCTTCTATAATTATCAATTAATGCTTCATCAAAGGAGGCGAATTCGAGTTGGATGAATCACTTTCAGCTTTTTTTTCTTTTTCACGCGCAAGATCAGCTTGGAGTTGTTTCACTTGTTTTTCCAT